ACGTGTATTCATTTGAATTAAATCTGATCTCCTACCCATATAAAAACTTACAACTGTTCATGTGATAGGAGAACTTATGGTTTTCTATAGCAATTATACATTTAGAGAGTCATACTTACGGTTCTCTCTGCAACATTAACGGTGGAAAGTTTTTATCTTTCCCACTGGGGCGGGAGATCAATTCTATCGTTCAAATATTGTGTTCAAAGTGTTCTATGGATTTGTCGCCTGCCAAACAAGGCATAAGTGAAACACAAAATAGAAAGAAAAAGTCTCTCTTCTCAATCTGCAAAGTTGTTGGCACTTTATTTAAATTACCTACTAACTAGTTGCAATTTGGAAACCAAGATCCTTTATAAAATCCTGTCTTACAAGACACATTATTGATTATCCTCCTATACTGCAGAGAGAAAAAAGAAAAAAAGTAAAAAAAATATGGCTGGCTCTTCATCTCTCAAAACCCTCAACTCTCTTCATATTTTCTCCATGAGAAATTCTTCTTCTTCTTCTTCCATTAGCTCCATGAAAATGAAAACCCTACTGCAAACTTTCATTCTCTCACACTTGTACCGCATTGCTCGTGCTCTCACAAAAGCTAAAGCCATTCTAGTTGAAGTTCTTAAAGATCTTCAACTGGTTCACTTTACACAATTCCCAGCCTTGAAACGAAACAAGAATAAGCATAAACTGTTTTTTGGCTCATTTCGATTGCACTATAATTGGTGTTCCTCTCATGTCATGCCGGTAACAATGCCGGTGCTGGAAGGTTGCTCCACTGAGAATGTTTACTATGATTCCACTTGGAATTCGATTATTCCGACGTCTGAGTACGAGGGCTCGGAGCTCTCAGCGTATCTCCGGTGGCTTGAGGAGAGGGGTCACGAGAATCCCAGCGATGAAATCGATCGACTTGCCGATTTGTTCATTGAGAACTGCCACGAGAAGTTCAGGTTGGAGAAACAAGAGTCTTACAGGAGATTCCAAGAAATGATGGCTAGAAGTATATGAGCTAGCTAAGCTAGGTTCTTTTTTACTTTATTTTTCCATTGTTGTTTTCTGTCATATTGACTGGATTGGAGTAGAGTTTCGGGGTGGGTGGGTAGTGGAGTGCATGGTTTAAATCTTGTGCTCTTTGGTTCTTTCTTCATCTATGGATTGTGGTTGTGGAGAATTCTACATGATGGGGCAGTGAAATTTGTGCAATTCTATGTTAAATTATAATGTAAACTTTTACAAATTGCATTGGTAGTAGTGAATTTACATTTAAATTCAGTTAAGAGTTGGATCCTTTAACTATTCAATGCTCTACGATTTGCAGCTTTTCTTGCAAATATGAATGGATAAATGGTAACTATTTTTTTATTTTTTT